TTCAGTCGATCATTAGTCACCACATGAGCTTTTAGTACAGCCACTGCGGCCTCAAGCTTCTTAAGTCTCTCTTGATAATTGGATCCACCACTCATGGCCATTTCATCAATTTTCTAGCACTTTTCAACAGTGCTTTGATACCACGTGTGACGGGCTAAGCTTTCTCTCAATGAAGCGATAGACCGTGTGGCACTTGAATAGACTCTTCCACCCAAGTTAGCCAAGGATAGCTCAATATCTGAAAAGGTAACAACTAGCCATAAATTAATCTCAAGCATACACAAGTAGACACATTCATATTGGGAGAAAAAAAAACACATCGAGGCAACACTCGGGACTTTTGAAAAAAAAAATATTTTATTAATATCGAGAATAGTACATCGAGACTTTCCACCATCATCGAGGCCAGAGGGGCAGCCCTTGATGGGTGGCCTAGTGCATACCTTAACCAGTGAGGCAGCCTAATAATATGTCGACTGCTCACCCCCTTTAAAGAGCAAATATGATTTTAGAGCTATGCTACCACTAACCGTTACAATGTTTGAAATGGAGACATTTTTTCTAGTACAAAAGACCTATCTTTCCCTCTTGGCATCTCTACCCAGTCATGACTTTATATATAAGTGGTTTATGATAACTTAAGCCTGATCATGGCCCTATACAAGGTTGGCTAATGACACTTAGCTTGATGGGAAAGAGATTAGATCCCAAGGGCATCATCGACCATAAAAACGCCTTGGCCTCGACAAGGTCATGCACGCAACCGATGCTGCCCAAGACCCCAGGAACAAGTCTCTAAATCAGGCAATGTCCCCCTGGGGTGGTGTCAGCGGAGCTCGTGCGTGCGGTCTCGGCCAGGCCAAGCATTGGTGGTATCATGCCGTTGTTGCCTGTCAGATGGCAGGGGTAGTCTCATGGCCCTTGCTTGTATTTTTCCCATGCCAAGCAGTTGTGGCGTGGCCTCACATGTTGTTTTCTTCACTCACTAATCGAGTAATGGATTGGGTGGGTTATAGATCAGGGCGCGTGGATGCTACCATTTGTACGCAATGGGCATATGAGTGGTGCTATGATTATGCATGTTGGTAGGCTACGTGCTCAATGCATCGAACTGTTAACCCATTATCCTCTTCAATCTTTCCCCATGCGGTTGTCATACCTTAAGGGCACGATTGGGATCCTGTGTTGCATATCGAATCGATGGAAACTGGATGTCTCGCCATCCCTCATCTGTCTCATGTCCCGAGGGGCTATGGGTCAGACGTCAATCGTGGTCGGTGTCCCAAGTGCACCACCTAATCCTCCGTGGCTGCATTGGTGCACCGGTGTTCGATCATGCTCTTAGATGCGAAACATTTAGTAGGCGTGGGCTTTCAACCCCCGTTCATCCGATGCTATGCATTTTGGTGTCATGAGCTCGGGCCAAGCACCATGCGCACCACGATCGGGTGGTAGGTGGGTTTAGGAATATCTTCATATTTCTACCATGCCAATACCATTTTTATGGCTTGTAAATTCATACAATGGTCTCCTAAGCCTTCATGTGAAGTTTCATGGCAAGATGACCCATTTTCTATTTTTCATGATTTTTAAAATTTTTTACGGTTCGAAATTTTTTAAAAGGAGTTTTTACCCCAAATTTGGTAGACATGATCCTTGTATTTTTGTTGGCATGCACAAAAAAAGTCAGCTAAAAACTCGAAGTGTAGAAGATTTTATGGCCATTTGAAAAAAATGTCCCCATTTCAGACACTTGAATGGCTACTAGCAGCAAACTTGTAAAATCTCATATGCTCTTTAAGAAGGTGTGAGCTGTCGAGGTTTGTTGAGGGATAGAGGGCCAATATAAGGTCCAAGTACCAACACCCATCGCACAACATATGCGCACACCCCCCGGCCCCCCCAATCGTCGGAACCCCCAATGCTGTCGGTCAGGTTTTCTGATGATGCTCCGACGGTGGTGCCCCAAGCAAAAAAAATACAGCACCAGCACATGTCGGAGCCTAGCATGTGCACCATGGCTCAAAATCTAACTTTGGCCAAGGCCTCAACCATCAACGGCACATGCTGGCGCATGGTGATGGCACATGTATCGACCATCATCGGCACAGGCTGCCCTTTGGTATGGGCACTTACCTCGACCACCATCGACACAAGCTGGCCCTTGGTACGGGTACTTGCCTTGACCATCATCAACACATGCATGCCTCGATGAGCATCGGCAGAAGATGGCCCTTGGTGCGGGCAGTTACCTCGAGCACCATCGGCACGTGTTGGGTTTTGGTGCGGGCACATGCCTCGACCACCATCGTCACAAGCTGGCCATTAGTATGGGCACTTGCCTGGACCACTATCGGCATGTACCATGCCTTAATCAACATCTATAGAAGATGGCCCCTGGTGTACGCAGTTGCCTCGAATACCACGACACATGTTGGGCCTTTGTGCGGGCGGTTGCCTCGAGCACCATTGACACAAGCCGGCCTTTGGTGGGGGCACTTACCTCGACCACCATTGGCACATGCCATGTCTCGATCACCATCGACAAAAGATGGCCCATGGTGCAGGCGGTTGCATCAAACACCATCGGCACATGCTAGGCCTTGGTGCAAGCGGTTACTTCGAACACCATCAGCACATGCTGGGCCTTGGTATGGGCGGTTGCCTCGATCACCATCGATAAAAGATTGCCCTTGGTGCAGGTGGTTGCCTTGAACACCATCGGCACATGCTGGGCCTTCGTGTGGGCACATGCCTCGAGCTGGTACGGACGGTTGCCTTAACCACCATCGACACGTGCTGGGCCTTGGTGCGAGCACAAGCCTCAGCCACCATCGACACAAGCCAGCCTTTGGTACTAGTACTTACCTTGATCATCGTCGGCATGTACCATGCCTCGATTAGCATCGGTAGAAGATGGCCCCTAGTGTGGGCGGTTGCCTTTAACACCATTGGCATGTACTGGGCCTTGGTGCGGGCAGACGTCTCGACCACCATCGGTGCATGCATGACTTAATCAGCATGCGCACAAGCTGGAACCGGTGTGAGCACCTACCTCAATCAGCATCGGTAGAAGATGGCCCTTGGTGCAGGCAGTCGCATCAAACACCATCGGCATGCACTGGCCCTTAGTGCTGGCGCATGCCTCGACCACCATCAGCACCTGCTCACCTTTGGTGCGAGATATGCCTATTTGAAAAAAGTGTCCCCGTTACAGACGCTTTAGCATCTACTGGTAGCATATCTATAAAATCTCTAATGCTCTTTAGGGGGTGGTGGTCTGGCACCCTTTTTTTCCCCCTACGGGGGGAGTAGGTGTGCGTGATGGGCCTCCCGTTGCGTACACCTAGGGTAACATTCCTCAAGTGAAATGCAGGGTGTGCATGTCTTTCGACCATTTTGTCTGGTGACTGGTTGCTCTGGTGACTGATAGGCGCCCATGGCCTTGACTGGTTGGTATGCATGCAAAAAGAGGGAACCAAACTCAAGCTTATGCACACAGAGGATGTTGTCCTAGACCTCAAACCAAGTCCCTGAATCAGGCAACGACTCCCTGGGGTGGTACGAGCAGAAGCTACGGTTGTGAGCTTGGCCTGGCCAAGTCTCTCGGTATTTAATAGTCTCGCGATGCCTTCTCGTCGACCACAAAAATGCCTTGGCCTCAGTGAGGCTGTGCACGCAGTCGATGCTACCCAAGACCCCAGGAACAAGTCCCTGAATCGGGCAACATCCTCCTGCGGAGGTGTCACAGAGCTCGTACGTGCGATCTTGGCCAGGCCAAGCATTGGTGGTATCGTATCATTGTTGCCTGTCAGATGGCAGAGGCAGTCTCGTGGCCCTTGCTTGTGCTTTTCTTATGCTAAGCAGTTGTGGCGTGGCCTCGCACATTATTTCCTTCGCTCACTTGTTGAGTAATCGATCGGGTGGGTTGTGGACCGACACGCGTGGATGCTGCCACTTGTATGCAATGGGTATATGAGTGGTGCTATGGTTGTGCGTGTTGGAAGGTTTCATGCTCGATGCATCGAACTATCAGCTTGTCATCCTTTTTAGTCTCTCTTCATGTGGTCATTGTACCTCTGGGGCACGATCAAAATCCTGTGCTACATATCTGAATTGATGGAAATCGAATGTCTTTCTATCATCCATCTCATGTCTCGAGGGGTTATAGGTCGGACATCAATCGTGGTCGGTGTCCCAAGCATGCCACCCAATCCTTCGAGGCCACATTGGTGCACTGGTGTTCGATCGTGCTCTCAGATGCAGAACGTTTAGCGGGCGTGGGCTCTCAGCCTTCGTCCGATGCTATGCATTTCACGTGCTCGACATGCAAGATGCTTGCGCTCCGCATTGGGCTCTCTCCATCGCTCGATCGGTGCGTCGAGGCCCACGCGGTGTCGATGTCCTGAAGGAATGCTACCTGGTTGATCCTACCAGTAGTCATATGCTTGTCTTAAAGATTAAGCCATGCATGTGTAAGTATGAACTAATTCAAACTGTGAAGCTGTGAATGGCTCATTAAATCAGTTATAGTTTGTTTGATGATATCTACTACTTGGATAACCATAATAATTCTAGAGCTAATACGTGTAACAAACCTCGACTTCTAGAAGGGATGCATTTATTAGATAAAAGGTCGACGCGGGCTATGCCCGTTGCTCTGATGATTCATGATAACTCGACGGATCGCACGCCTTTATGCTAGCGACGCATCATTCAAATTTCTTCCCTATCAACTTTCGATGCTAGGATAGTGACCTATATGGTGGTGATGGGTGATAGAGAATTAGGGTTCGATTCCGAAGAGGGAGCTTGAGAAATGGCTACCACATCCAACGAAGGCAGCAGGCGTGCAAATTACCCAATCCTGATAGGGAGAGGTAGTGACAATAAATAACAATACCTGGCTCTATGAGTCTGGTAATTGGAATGAGTACAATCTAAATCCCTTAACGAGGATCTATTGGAGGGCAAGTTTGATGCTAGCAGCCACAGTAATTCTAGCTCCAATAGCGTATATTTAAGTTGTTGTATTTAAAAGGCTCATAGTTGGAACTAGGGTAGGGTCGTCTGGTCTGCCTTATGGTGAGCACCGGTCTACTTGTCCTTACTACCGACGATGCACTCCTGGACTTAATTACCCAGGTCATTCCTTCAGCACTGTTACTTTGAAGAAATTAGAGTGCTTAAAGTAGGCCTACGCTTGTATACATTAGCGTGGGATAACATCATAGGATTTCAGTCCTATTGTGTTGGCCTTCAGGATCGGAGTAATGATTAACAGGGATAGTCAGGGGCATTCGTACTAAATAGTCAGAGGTGAAATTCTTGGATTTATGAAAAAAGAAAAACGAACAACTGTGAAAGCATTTTCCAAAGATGTTTTCATTAATCAAGAATGAAAGTTGAGGGCTCGAAGACAATCAGATACCATCCTAGTCTCAACCATAAACGATGCCGACTAGAGATCGATGGATGTTACTTTTAGGACTCTGTCGGCACCTTATGAGAAATCAAAGTTTTTGGGTTTTGGGGGGAGTATGGTCGCAAGGCTGAAACTTAAAGGAATTGATGGAAGGGCACCACCAGGAGTGGAGCCTGTGGCTTAATTTAACTCAACAGGGGGAAACTTACCAGGTCCAGACATAGTACGGATTGATAGAATGAAAGCTCTTTCTTGATTCTATGGGTGGTGGTGTATGGCCGTTCTTAGTTGGTAGAGCGATTTGTCTGGTTAATTTCGTTAACGAATGAGACCTCAACCTGCTAACTAGCTATACAAAGGTGATCTTCTATGGCTAGCTTCTTAGAGGGACTATGGCCACTTAGGCCAAGGAAGTTTAAGGCAATAACAGGTTTGTGATGCCCTTAGATGTTTTGCGCCACACGCGCACTACACTGATGTATTCAATGAGTCTATAGCCTTGGTCGACAGGCTCGAGTAATCTTTGAAATTTCATTATGATGGGATAGATCATTGCAATTGTTGGTCTTCAACGAGAAATTCCTAGTAAGCGCGAGTCATCAGCTGGTGTTGACTACGTCCTTACCCTTTGTGCACATTGCCCGTCGTTCCTATAGATTGAATGGTTTGGTAAAGTGTTCGGATCGCAGTGACGTGGATGGTTTACCGCCCGCAACGTCACAAGAAGTCTACTAAACCTTATCATTTAGAGGAAGGAGAAGTCGTAACAAGGTTTCTGTAGGTGAACCTACGGAAGGATCAATGTCGAAACCCCACTCGACGGATGACCCACAGATGCATTATCGAAACATCGAGGGGGTGAGGGTGCCCTTGCGCCCCGAGCCCTTTTCAGCCCTGGGCGGGTGCGACGGTCGCTTCGTCCCCCCCATAGGGCAAGTGGAATGATCAGTGTCAGCTCGCCCACTACCGAATAATGAACCCCCAGCGCAAATCATGCCAAGGAACTGAAACGAAAATAGAGCATGCGCACTGTCACCATCCTGTTCACGATGCGTTAGTGGTAGGGCCACGGCTCCTTTTGTCATGAAAAAATGAAACGACTCTCAGCAATAGATATCTCGACTCTTGCATCAATGAAGAATGTAGCGAAATGCGATACTTGGTGTGAATTCCAGAATCCCATGAACCATCGAATCTTTAAACGCAAGTTGCACCCCAAGCCATTAGGTTGAGGGCACGTCTGCCTGGGTGTCATGCATCATCGCCCACCCTTGACCACCTTCCCGTCGGGTTTCGAAAGAAGGGGGCTGGCAGAAGATGGCCTCCCATGATCTCGTCAGTCAGGGTTGGCCCAAAAACGAGTCCCCGGCAACGACAACGTCATGACCATCGGTGGTAGAGCTTCTTGGGTGCCTCACCCCTGATGACGCGTGCTCATTGTCCACCCAGACCCCGTCGGACCCCCCATATCACTCAGTCGATGCTCGCATTGTGACCCTAGGTTAGGCGGGATCACCGGCTGAGTTTAAGCATATCAATAAGTGGAGGAAAAAGAAACTTACTAGGATTCCCCTAGTAAGGGTGAGCGAATCGAGAAGAGCCCAGCTTGAGAATTGGGCACCCTCGGTGTCTGAATTGTAGTATGGAGAAACGTCCTTAGTGGCGGACCAGGCCCAAGTCCCCTGAAAAGGGGCATCGGAGAGGGTGAGAGCCCCATCGTGCTTGGACCTTGTCGCACCACGAGGCTTTGTTTGCGAGTCGGGTTGTTTGGGAATATAGCCCCAATCGGGGCGGTAAATTTCATCTAAGGCTGAATATGAGCGAGAGACCGATATTGAATAAGTACTGCGAGGGAAAGATGAAAAGGACTTTGAAAAGAAAGTCAAAGAGTGCTTGAAATTGTCAAGAAAGAAGCGTATGGGGGTCGATGATGCACCTCGATCAGATGTGGAACTGCGAGAGCCATTCCGTCGATCGACTCGGGGCATGGACCAATGTGGGTCAGGCAATGGCCTAAGCCCAGGCTTTCAATGTGCCTAAGGAGACATCATCATCGTAATCATGAAATGCAACACGCGCCATCTCGGCATGCCACAGCACCCATGTGCTCCTGACGTCGGCCTGCGGGCTCCCCATATGACCTGTCTTGAAACACGGACCAAAGAGTCTGACATGTGTGTGAGTCAACGACCTAAAAAACCAGTAAGGCGCAAGGAAGTTGAATGGTGGGATCCTTCACGAGTGCATCGTCGATCGACCTTGATCTTCTGAGAAGGTTTGAGTGCGAGCATGCCGTTGGGACCCGAAAGATGGTGAACTATTCCTGAGCGGGATAAAGCCAGAGGAAATTCTGGTGGAGGCCCGTAGCAATACTGACGTGCAAATTGTTCATCTAACTTGGGTATAGAGGCGAAAGACTAATCAAACCGTCTAGTAGCTAGTTCCTTTCGAAGTTTCCCTCAAGATAGCTGGATCTTCCGACGAGTTCTATCGGGTAAAGCCAATGACTAGAGGAATCAAGGGCGCAACGTCCTCGACCTATTCTCAAACTTTAAATAGGTAGGTCGGTGCGACTGCTTCATTGAGCCATGCCATAGAATCGAAAGCTCCAAGTGGGCCATTTTTGGTAAGCAAAACTCGCGATGTGGGATGAACTAAAGCCAGGTTACAGTGCCCAACTGCACGCTAACCCAAAACCCACAAAGGGTGTTGGTCGATTAAGATAGCAGGATGGTGGTCATGAAAGTCAAAATTCGCTAATGAGTGTGTAACAACTCACCTGCTGAATCAACTAGCCCTAAAAATGGATGACACTTAAGCGTGAGACCTATACCCGATCATCGAGGCAAGGGCCAGGCCCCAATGAGTAGAAAGATGTAGTGGTCACCGGGAAACCCAGGGTGCGAGCCCGAGCGGAGTGGCCATCAGTACAGATCTTGGTGGTAGTAGCAAATATTCAAATAAGAACTTTGAAGGTTGAAGAAGGGAAAGGTTCCATGTGAACGGCACTTACTTATGGGTTAGTCGACCTTAAGAGACGGGGGAAGCCCATCCAACAGTGCGTCCCGTGTGAGCTTCAAAAGAAAATCGGGTTAAAATTCCTAAACTGAGATGCGGTGGCTGACGACAATGTTAGGGAGTCTAGAGACGTCAATGGGGGCCTCGAGAAGAGTTACCTTTTCTATTTAAAGGCTCGCCTACCCTAAAAATGGCTTAGTCGGAGGTAGGGTCAAGCGGTCGGAAGAGCACCGTACATCGCATTGAACAGCCTCTGGTCAATAGAACAATGTAGGTAATGAAAGTCAACAAAATGGATCCGTAATCTCGAGAAAAGGATTGGCTCTAAGGGCTGGGCATGGGGGTCCCAATCTCGAACCTATTGGTAATTAGTGCACTGCTCGAGCTACTCTTACAGTGAGAGCGGGTCACTGCGTACCGATCGAGGGACGGATTAGGATGGCTCCCTCAAAGCCTTCTCTGGGTGATGAATAGTTGACTCAAAACTGGTACAGATAAGGGGAATCTCACTATTTAATTAAAAGAAAGCATTGCGATGGTCCCTGCAGATGCTCACATAATGTGATTTTTGCCCAGTGCTCTAAATGTTGAAGTGAAGAAATTCAACCGAGCACGGGTAAACGATGGGAGTAACTATGACTCTCTTAAGGTAGCCAAATGCCTCATCATCTAATTAGTGACGCACATGAATAGATTAACGAGATTCCCACAATCTTTATCTACTATCCAATGAAACCACAGCCAAGGGAACGGGCTTGGCGGAATCAGCGGGGAAAGAAGACCCTGTTGAGCTTGACTCTAGTCCGACTTTGTAAAATGACTTGAGAGGTGTAGGATAAGTGGGAGCCCCTGGGCAAAATTGAAATACCACTACTTTTAACGTTATTTTACTTATTCCATGAATCAGAGGCGGGGTACAACCCCTTCTTTTAGACCCAAGGTCGACCTCGATTGGTCGATCTGGGTGAAAAACATTGTCAGGTGAAAAGTTTGGCTAGGGTGGCACATCTGTTAAAAGACAAGGCATGTGTCCTAAGATGAGCTCAACGAGAACATAAATCTCATGTGGAACAAAAGGGTAAAAGCTTGTTTGATTCTGATTTCTAGTACGAATATGAACCATGAAAGCATGGCCTATCGATCTTTTAGACCTTCAAGATTTAAAACTAGAGGTGTCAGAAAAGTTACCATAAGGATAGCTGGCTTGTGGCAGCCAAGCATTCATAGCGACGTTGCTTTTTGATCCTTCGATGTTAACTCTTCCTATCATTGTGAAGTAGAATTCACCAAGTGTTGGATTGTTCACCCACCAATAGGGAACGTGAGTTGGGTTTAAACCATCGTGAGACAGGTTAGTTTTACCTTACTGATGGCAGCATTGCGATAGTAATTCAACCTAGTACGAGAAGAACCGTTGATTTGCACAATTGGTCATTGCACTTCGTTGAAAAGCTAGTGGTGTGAAGCTACCATGTGCTGGATTATGACTGAATGCCTTTAAGTTAGAATCCGGGCTAGAAGCAATGCGCAAGCTCGCCGCCTGATTGTCGACCTGCATAAGGCCCATGGCCCCTAAGGGCATGTGTCGTATATGCAGCCCCTACGACAGATGAGTCACGCGGGCCTCCTTGAAGCTCAATTTCCATCAAGCGGTAGGTAGAATCCTTTGCAGATGACTTAAATACACGATGGGGTATTGTAAGTGGCAAAGTGGCTTTGCTGCCATGATCCACTAAGATTTAGCCCTTTGTCATTTGATTCATCCCTCCCTCCCCTTCACCTGCTGACCTTTTTTCTTTTCACGTCACCCCATTCTGAGGTTGGGCATGACCCGGGGCCTTCCGTCCCTTGATCTCGATCAGGAACAAACACTCACCCCAGTCGGCCCATAAAACGAGCGTGCGAGCACTAAACCAACCACGGAGGCAGGATGCGTGAGCCAAGGATCCCGCTGCAGGTCTCCCTTGGTTGTTGCCCCAAATGCCATCGATAGCGTCTGGCCCATGGTTGGTCAAGACTGGGAATGCACTACGTAGGCCTAAGTCAACGCACGAAACAAGCGTACAGGCACTAACTCAGTCGGAGAGCCAGAATGCTCAAGCTAGGGATTAACCCGATCCCCCACGGTGTGTTGCAAATCCTGTTACACTACGGGTCCCTCGATCCAACTGGGTTTAGACTGGGAATGAACACTATATGCCTAAGTCAACCCATGAAATGAGCGTTCGGGTGCTAAGCCAACCAGAGAGGCATAATGTGTAAGTTGAGGATCGACCTGACCTCTCTCTATGTGTTACGGATCCTATTGTAGGTCCCTCGATCTGGCTGGGGCTTAGACTGAGAATGAACTCTGTATGCCTAAGTCAACCCATGAAACGAGCGTGTGGGCACTAAGCCGGCCAGAGAGGTAGAATGCGCAAGTCAAGGATCGACTCGATCCCTCTCTACGTACTACCCCATTGGGCTATGGGTCTTGCTGCCAGAACTTTCAGTCCGATCCGATCTTAGACTGGGAATGAACTCCTTATGCTTAGATTGGGAATGAACTCCGTATGCCTAAGTCAACCCATGAAATGAGCATGCGGGCACTAAGCCGACTAGAGAGGTAGGATACATAAGCTGAGGATCAGCTCGATCCCCCTCTGCTTGCTATCGATCCTGCTGCGGGTCTTGTTGCCACAACCCTCGGTCCGATCGAAGCCTAGACTGAGAATGAACTCCGTATGCCTAAGTCAACTTACAAAACAAGCGGGCAGGCACTATGCCAGCCAAAGAGGTAGGATGTGCAAGCTGAGGATCGACCAGGCTCCCCTTGTATGCTGTCGATGCTGCTGCGGGTCCTGCTGCCACAAGCTTAGATTGGGAATGAACTCTGTATGCCGAAGTCATTTTTTTGGCACATGAATTCATATGAGCCCTCCCCAATGCCCGCGCACGAGCCCGGACCGAGCACCATGCACACCACGATTGGGTGGTAGGTGGGTTTAGGCACATCTTCATATTTTTGCCATGTTAATGTCATTTTTATGGCTTGTAAATTCATACAATTGTCCTCTAAGCCTTCATGTGAAGTTTCATGGCAAGATTTTCAAAAGTTTTTACGGTTCAGGATTTTTAAAAATTTTTTAGAAGGATTTTTGGCCCCAAATTTGGTAGACGTGATCCTTGTATTTTTTTTGGAACGCACAAAAACATTCAGCTAAAAAATCGAAGTGTAGAAGATTTTGTGACCATTTGAAAAAAGTGTCCTCATTTTAAACACTTGAATGGCTACTGGCAGTAAACCTGTAAAATCTCATTTGCTCTTTAAGGGGGTGTGAGTTATCAAGGTTTATTGAGGGATAGGGCCAATATAAGGGTCAAGTACCAGTACCCATCGCACATCATGTGTGCACACCCCCTGGGCCTCCCCAATCGTCAAAACCTCCAATGCCATCGGTCAGGTTCTCCGATGATGCTCTGACGATGCTCCGACGATGGTGCCTCGGGCAAAAAAAATACGACACCAATACATGCCCTAGCCCAGCATGTGCACCGTGGCTCAAAATCGAACTTCAACCATGGCCTTGACCATCAACGGCATATGATGGCGCATGGTGATGGCACATGCATCGACCATCATCGGCACAGGCTGCCCTTTAGTACAGACACTTGCCTCGACTGTGCCTGTGCCCTTTGGTATGGACACTTGCCTCGACTGCCATCGACACAAGCTGGCCCTTGGTACAGGCACTTGCCTCAACCACTATCAACACATGCATGCCTTAATGAGCATCAGCAGAAGATGGCCCTCGGTGCGAGCAGTTGCCCCGAGCACTATCGGCATGTGTTAAACCTTGGTGCGGGCACATACCTTGACCACCATCGTCACAAGCTGGCCATTGGTATGGGCACTTGCTTGGACCACCATCGGCACATGCCATGCCTCGATCAACATTGGCAGAAGATGGTCCCTGGTGTGTGCGATTGCCTCGAACACCATAGGCACATGCTGGGCCTTGGTGCGGGCAGTTGCTTCATCGACACGTGCTGGGCTTTGGTGTAGGCACATGCCTTGAGCTGGT